GAGTAGGAATATTGCAAAGAAATACCATTTACGAAAAAGAAAATATACTGTATTGTCGGCAGCAAAACAGAAAGTATGTTTTAGCATCCGCAGGATATGAAAACTTGCCAGAACGTTTTTTCGGTTTCATTGCTCGTGGAATATAAGGGTAGTTTTTTCATAAGTAGAAATGTACATAACTCGAAGACGAGTTGTATTCTGTATTAAAAAAAAAATGCTTAAAAGTCAGCAGCATGCTGAAGGCTTAAAGCAGTAACAACGCTACACGTAAAAACTGATGATGGTGGAAAAATACACCGAAACGTATTTTAATTGATAAATAAAGACAATAAATGACTGAAACCCAGGAATTGATTTTGATTTGGAATTGAAACACAGTCAGGAAAGTATATACGTTAAAGCGTAAGCAATACGTACACAAGATATATCCATTTTTACCGCAGCCACCGCCGAACGTGTCATAATCACGTGAAAGAACGTCCACCAATTTCAAAAAGTAATTTCGACGTGATTACTCGACAATCTACTAGGGTCGTTTGATAAGTCAGTGACTTTTTGAATTTCCCTCCCAGTAACTTTAAATTCAATACTCCTGCGCTACGTCATTTAGTTCGTGTTTAATAGTCATTGAAAGGAGACGACTAAGATGACTTTGTCAATTTCGACGCTAATGGGAAAAAAGTGAATTTCGAGTCCTGATCAAGCATTATCTTTTACCAAAAAAATACCATCAAAAAAACGAAAAAAAAGCTTGATAAATACTATGGGGACTCTGCATCATCAATCTCAATGGTTAAGAATTGATTTCCTGAGTTTCGTTGTGGTCATACCAGCACAAATGACGCATAACGTTCAGGTCGTCCAAAAGAGTTTGTTACGCCAGAAATGGTCGATAAAATCCATGGAACCATACTGGACAATTGGAGAATAAAAGTGCGAGAGGTGGCTGAAGCTGTAGGCATCTCAACTGAGAGAGTATATCACATTTTACATGAATATTTACATATGAAAGAGCTATCCGCAATACGAAAGCCGCGATTGCTGACACTCGACCATAAGCACTCCCGTGTGAGCATTTGAAATTAATGTTTGGCAATGTTTC